CAATGACAAATATTTGGAGCATAAAAATACCGATTTAAAAGAACCCTGTATTTTTAGCAGAGATCCCCCCAGGAAGGACGTTGTTATATTATCACGCCACCCTGTAAATGTTCGAATCAGAACCATACTATCAAGTGATTGATAACATGAACATCGATCTACGCAACTGGGGTACGATGACATGCATATAGATGCTATATTATCGCGCCACCCTGTAAATGTTCGAATCAGAACCATACTATCGAGTAATTGACATCATGAACATCGATATACGCAACTGGGGTACGATGACATGCATATAGATGCTATATTATCACGCCACCCTGTAAATGTTCGAATCAGAACCATACTATCAAGTGATTGATAACATGAACATCGATATACGCAACTGGGGTACGATGACATGCATATAGATGCTATATTATCACGCCACCCTGTAAATGTTCGAGTCTCAGCCTGTCAATCCAGTGGTTGATATCATGTTCATGATGTCCACTGACATTAGCAGCATGCAGACGGTTTGTAATATTCTGGTCAGTACCTTGAACTCCACTGGCCTTGCGCAGGTGAACAGTGATCTGATTGGCTGTTTGGGCAGGATTTCTTAAAGCCTGGTTTCGGATTCCTCGATCCTGGACTTATGTTATTGACCGAATGCGCCTGACGCGGGGCCGATCATTAGCATTTTGTGTCTGCAGAAACCTGTTCCAAAGTCTGCACATCACAGACTGAGACACATTGAACATATTGGCTACCTCTCGCTGAATGTCACCAGTTTGAAGCATGCCAATAGCCTTTTGGCGTTCATCACGAAGTAGACGACGCAATTCCCAATCTGACCCCAATTACTGCATTAAAACCAGAGTAGAGAGTTTACATGTTACTGTGGATAATGAAAATGAACAATACTAATGCCTCAGGGCTATCTGACGACCTCACACTGAAGTGCCAAATCAAAAATCAGTCTTACTGCACATAACATATTTCCTACCCTTTAGATATAACATTTAAAAACTATTTTATTGTTCAGGTTATCATTGGCGTGACTAACCTGGTTGGACTTCCGATAACCGTCTCGGATATAACTAATTATCCATGGCGAATATCCAGCCACTTGGCTATCCTCATCAGATGCCTGTGTTGACAAGGTAGATACACGTACGCAGCCCTTGGTTCGCAGATTTATGCGTTACTTCTTGTAGTCTCTGAGCACATATTATATAAGTTTACAATAATGAATAAAAGGTTATTGATAAAATCATTGTCTATAAGATTAGTATATACCTGGGGTTAATTATACGGCGATTTTAATGTCGCAGGAAAAATATAGGTTTTCTTTGAAACTTTTTATTAAAAAACACTTAACTATATTTCCAAAGTGCACTGACATTCCACCCACTTTGTCAGTTTATGTGTATGTGGGCTTTCAGCTGCTCTAACCTGATACTCCTTGAAAATGTGACCGCCTCCGGGATTTAGTAGTAGAGCGTCCGCCCGTAGAGCATCTTACCGAGGCAAGGGCGTTAACTGACTATAAAAGTCCTGTTTCCACCCTTGCCGAATTCAGATGTTACCTTTTGGCTGGACAAACGAGTCTATGCATGGATCAATCAAAATCGCGCAATGAACTAGACATCCGGTTCGTCAACAGCATGAAATTCAATGTGGTGATTTCGGCTATTTGCATCGCATGTGTACCGCCAACTGTGCGTCGACAGATATTTTGCAAATCTTTTCATGTTTTAATCAAGGCGCACAAGTGATTTCATGCACTTCGCGCGATAAGACTCGTCGTATTACAATATATAGATCTTGATTATCGATTAGATCATTGCCGTAAAAGGTGACTATGCTTGTCGTATAACGGGATCGGGTGGTCGGGCTCGCTGACTTGGTTGATGCATGTAATCGATCCCAATTGCGTGGATCGATGCTCATGATGTCAATCACTGGATTGTCTAGTCCAGACTCGATTATTTACAGACCGCCGCCATATAGCTGGAATACTGCTGAATGCGGCGTTAAACAACAAACCAACCAACCAAACCAAGATCATCTGGACTTGGCGCCGCCATTTCGTTAGAAGAAAATGCAAGTGAGATGTAATCTGATAGGTCAATAGGAGGTCAATAGGAGGGGCATAGAAGGGACATAACTCGTAATAGACACTGGTGGCGCTACGATCGCGCCTGGAATTCCCTGCCTTGCTCGGCAAGGATGTAACTGGACTTTCATAGTCAGTTAACTCCCTTGCCTCGAAAACATGCCCGGAGAGCCAAAGGTCCGAGGTTCGATTTCCGGTCATACTAAAATATGTTAAAAGATGGCACTTGTTGTTGCCCTGCCTGGCGCTCGGCATTAAGGGGCTAAAACAAGGACTGGTCGGCTCTGAGTCAGTATACTGTGTCTGAGTGGGGTATTCATGTTAAACTGCAGCATGGTATCTCAGTGGGATAGCGATCTAAAATCGGCATTTGTCAGGGCTAGTACAAGCAGCCATCTTGGACGCGACGTTGAACCCCATTTCACCTCACCTACTTGAAAATGTACAAGCTAGATTCCTCAGAAATTTTATCTTGCCAAAAAAGTCCCCCGTTAGTAATGTTACTTGGTGAAACTGGTATCTTGTCACTCTGGTTAGCAGTGCATACAAATATGCTTGCTGCTGGTCTACAAACATATCCAAAAGATATCTTCAATATGTTATTGTATGAATATGAAAGTTATATCTATAAAACGAATGGATTAACTTTGTTAAGAATACCATTGATAACATGGGGTATAATCATATATGGTTTTAATACTAATTGTCAAATCTGATCTAAAAAACAAGCCACCATTTGGGTATTTACAATGTCTGTGTGACGCCACACCCCCTGTTATAGCGCGAATAATCGCGATAAAACGTATGATGTCCGAAAACCAATGATCCGACGATATATCAAATGATCGTCTCCCTAGAAAAGGGTAGATTACATATTATACCCGCTATGTGAGACAAGAGACACTCGAGCCAATCTTCATTACATTTTCAAGAGCCTTTTCTTTAGTCAGCCATTGCGCTTCAGAAATCCCACAATTGTCCATTCATTCTCTTCTTTGTCTTCATCTTCAGAATGACATCAAGAAGATGACTAAATTAACTGTGTATAATAATAATGGAAGAATTTAGATTTTGATTTTTAAAAATAGAAACTTATCTTTCTTTGATAAAATTGGTAAAATGTTATTTTTACTGTTATATTAGTTCGTAATATATGCCTACATAATAAATGCCTGCACTCTGACCGCCACCTTGTACATAAAGATTTTATTTCAATGATAAAAAATTACGTTCTTGTTAAGCCATGGGACAAGGCCTGAAGTGCTGTTCTGTCAGACACGGAGACCAAGCCAGAGTATCAACAGGGACACAAGGCCTGCACGACACGGCGTGGCATCGATTACGGCTCCTGAATCAGCAACGACCACGTTGTGAGTGAGTGAGTGAGTGAGTGAGCGAGCGAGTAAGTGGACACATTTGATAACCACAATTTAGTCACATATATCTTCCACACAAAAGGCAAAAGTAATACAAAGTAGCCAAACATGAAGTCACATTAGTAGCGATGAAAAGTGTTGTGACGGAACTCATCTGGGTTCATCGTATCAAGTGAATGAGTGAGTAGATTCACACAGCGTTTAGCAATATTCCAGCACAACACGGCGGGTGACACCAGAAACGGGTTTCACAAATTTTACCCATGTGGGGAATCGAACCCAGGGTTTTGGCGTGACGAGCGAATGCGTTAACCACGAGGCTACCCGCCGTCCCACTACCCCTAGGGTATACTACGCATGATTATAAGAACGTTTTCGTTCTTGGTTTTCTGATTACGTTAATTCTAACAGAATCAAAGAAAAACATAAGTTTCTAAAAGCAATTTTGAATTACGCTTAAAAACGAAACGTCATATGAGAGTGAACAGATTATATAAGGTCTATGCATTCATATTCAGTATCTGTGGAATGAGTATTTGTTAAGTGATCACATCCATATGAGGTTATGTCGCACAATATCAACTTATAAAAGATAATATTGCACAGGGTTTTTATCAGCGTGCAATCATGAGGTAATAGATATGCTATAAAAAAAATATGAATGTCATGAAGTCAAAAGTGTAAATTTAATTCCCTTTCGTTCAATCCTATTTTGTTTTGTCAATAAAATATGTTTAAACTTTTAAAAAACATAGGTCGCATAAACAAATAGAAACGCTCCCATACGTATTCCATTTTCAGATTAACAAATACCATGCCCCATGAATACTAACAATCTCCGATTTAAATTATTTCTTATATGTGGAAAAGGTTAAAAACGAAAATAAAAATTCCTTTTGAAATTAAACAAGGTTCGGATTTATTATAACAGAAGTGTGCAAAAGTATACCATAGTCTTTCATAATTCATAACTATACAGAACGCCCCGGATGTATACTACACGGTGAAACCGGTAGTACATCGCACCTTGACCTCTAGACGTCTATTGTGAGGTTTACAATACCCAACACTTTGAATCATAATTCAGTTAAACGGAAGAAATAAAACTTCAAAATGTGTTTTCAGCAAAACTAAATGATTCAAGTTTAGACATGTGCATGATATCCGAGTCTCACTGACCCATGACATCAGCAATAACTAGTTAACCGATATGGGCACTGGTAGCCCTGCCGTGATTAACACAAAACATGGACATAAGATCTAACATAGACAATCTGCACCTAGACATGAACGCAAGACCTAACACAGACCATCTGCACCTAGAAATGAACGCAAGACCTAACATAGACCATCTTCACCAAGATATGAACATAAGACCTAACACGGACCATCTGCACCTAGAAATGAACGCAAGACCTAACACGGACTATCTGCACCTAGAAATGAACGCAAGACCTAACATAGACCATCTTCACGAAGGTATGAAAATAAGACCTTACACAGACCATCTGCACCTAGAAATGAACGCAAGACCTAACACGGACCATCTTCACCAAGATATGAACACCCTCACCCACACCACCGTCCAACCCAAACCAGACACACCCGGCCCGACCCACGTCACACCCTCACCCACACCACAACCAAACCCCCAGCAGACACACCCCGCCCCCTCCACCCACGTCTCACCCTCTCCCACACCACCACCCAACCCCAAGCAGATACACCCCGCCCCTCCACGCCCCACCGTCACCCACACCACCACCCCACCCCACCAGACACACCCCGCCCCCTCCATCCACGTCACACCCTCTCCCACACCACCACCCAACCCAAAGCAGATACATCCCGCCCCTCCACGCCACACCCTCACCCACACCACCACCAAACCCCACCAGACACACGCCCCCCCCCCCCCCCTCCACCCACGTCACACCCTCTCTCACACCACCACCCAACCCCAAGCAGATACACCCCGCCCCTCCACCCACGTCTCACCCTCTCCCACACCACCACCCAACCCCAAGCAGATACACCCCGCCCCTCCACGCCCCACCGTCACCCACACCACCACCCCACCCCACCAGACACACCCCGCCCCCTCCATCCACGTCACACCCTCTCCCACACCACTACCCAACCCAAAGCAGATACATCCCGCCCCTCCACGCCACACCCTCACCCACACCACAACCAAACCCCACCAGACACACCCCGCCCCCTCCACCCGCGTCACACCCTCTCCCACACCACCACCCAACCCAAGCAGACACACCCCGCCCCTTCCACCCACGTCACACCCTCTCCCACACCACCACCCAACCCCACCAGACACACCCCGCCCCCTCCACCCACGTCACACCCTCTCCCACACCACCACCCAACCCCACCAGACACACCCCGCCCCCTCCACCCACGTCACATCCTCACCCACACCACCAACCAACCCCACCAGACACACCCCGCCACCACCACACGATACCCTTTCCCACATACTCCGCCCCGCCCAACCCCCTCCCACCCATGCCCCGTCCTCACCCACACCACCATCCTTCCTCACCAGACACACCCCGCCCCACCCCACCAACGCCCCGTCCTCACCCACACCACCTACAAGCCCCAGCAGACACATCCCGCCCCACCCACGTCACACCCCCTCCCACACCACCATCCTTCCCCACAAGACACTCCCCCGCCACACCCTTACCCACACCACCCCACCCCACCAGACACACCGCACCACCACCACGCGATACCCTTTCCCACATAACCCGCCCCGCTCCAACCCACCCACGCCCCGTCCTTACCCACCCCACCATCCTTCCTCACCAGACACACCCCGCCACACCCTCACCCACACCACCACCCAACCCCAGCAGACACACACCCGCCCCCTCCACACATGGCACACCAGACACACGTCACACCCTCTCCCACACCCCTCACAACCACATCCTCACATCCACCCCTGCGCCGATACAAACAGAACCAACACCACAATGAATTTTTTTAACACGACAAGGTAGGGCGTGCATTAGTGATTGGGTGACTTTTGTTTTACGCCGCTTTTAACAATATTCAGCAAATATCACGGTGGGGGACACTAGAAATGAGCTTCTCACATTTTACCCATGTGGGAAATCCAAACCGGGTCTTCGGCGTGACGAGCGAACGCTATAACCGCTAGGCCACCCAATCGACACCTGATTATGTTTCTAGGTTTAGCAGCACCATGCCCGTGCTCGTGGGTTTCACCAAGCTGATAAACGTCTTAGACCTGCATCACTTCGGGCTTTCCCCCCAAATCGGGTGACACATCGTGATGTAACTGGAGTATTACGTATCCCAAATGGGCAGATCGATGCTCATGGTGTAAATCATTTGATTGTCTGACCCAGACTCGATTATTTCCAGACCGATTGCTGAGTCAGGTGTTACACAACAAACAAATAAATCGGTGAATATTGATTATTGCCAAAGTCGTGCAATATGTCAGCCTTATCATGGCGGCCTGTGGACAATCTGATAAAACCAACTTCGAAAGTCACTGGACAATGATCAACGACCTACTTAATAAAAACCCGTGAAGATCCGGGGTAGAATAGGTCTTCAGCAACACATGCTTGTCGTGACAGGCGACTATGCTTCTCGTTAGAGGCGACTGACCGGATCGGGTAGTCAGGCTCTCTGACTTGGTTGATGTATGCCATCGTATCCCAATATCGTAGACCGATGCCCATGATATCAATCACTGGATCGTCTGGTCCAGACTCGATTATTTACAGCCCGCCGTCATATAGCTGGAATATTGCTGAGTGCGGCGTAGTCCGTCACAAACATAAGAACATAACCAATACAACACTCTGGAAGCAAAGGAGTTTTCTTTGTTTGTCGTGAACGCTGCACACAGCAATATTCCAGCAATATGACAGCGGTCTGTTTATAATCGTACCAGACAATCCAGTGACTGAACTCAGAATCAGACATCAGTTACTCGCCACGGGCATAGTCTCCTCTTACGGCAAGCATGGGTTGCTGAAGACCTATTATATCACGCATTTATAGAGTAAAAGTTGCATTGTATGATTTCACGGTAAACCACATACAGTTCCTTTCCCTCTACATATAGTTTGTAGAACACGAGGGCCGATAATGAGAACATGCTTAATATATAATATTTAATACAATGTAGGTATACAATTTGATGCAGAGCGACATTTATTCAAGGGTCACAGGTACTACCAGATTGCGTCGTGTAATGAGTTAAGTCACGTGAACAAGCGAAACTAGTAGATCCAGCTGCAATAAAACCTGCAAACGCTGTCCTGCTGGACTCGTGTGCCTTCATGTAAGCAATGACAATACCTTTCGCAATTTACTCTGAAAACCCAAAAGAGTTTCCCTGCAACTTATTCAGGTAGTTGATCCATCTCCTGTACAAAATACATTGTCAATCAGAACGGATAAGTAACACTAAAATATCCACAACCACACCATAATAACACTGTTCCTACCTTCGCCCCCTCACTTGGGTACGAAGGTAAAATTAGCCATGGGGAAAACCCGGAAGTGTTATGAACTCTAGGCATGCTATTAGATATATAAGCCAAATATTCGTGCGAATGAGCTCATGTCAAACACCAGCCTTGAAAGAAATACAGGTATGTCTTGCGCTTGTAATATGTGAAAATACGAGTATTGTATTTATTTAGTATGTTCATATTGTTAGGCACATGATATATCACTGATTAGAAGGAACCCGTGAAGATCCGGGTTAGAATTGGTCTTCAACAACCCATGCGTGTCGTAAGAGGCGAATAACGGGATCGGGTGGTCAGGCTCGCTGACTTGGTTGATGCAGGCCATCGTATCCGAATTGCATAGATCGATGCTCATGATGTCAATAACTGTATTGTCTGGTCCAGATTCGATTATTGACAGACCGCCGTCATATAGCTGGAATATTGCTGAGTGCGGCGATAAACAACAAACCAACCAACCAACCAACAAACTGTTGCAGGAATGAGTGACCGATCAACTGATAACCAAACTGATCAACAGCTCTTTTAACCTTCAGTTACATAACTAACTCGGTATACTTTCTTTTGCCCCTCAGTTTATGTCTCCATACATCCGTTAAGATAAATGCCCTGGACCCATTCTGGACCACCTGGACCCCCATATATTCGTTTCTGAAGTGACGTCACTGCCTCTATTGCATCTCTTTCTAAATCAGCAATGAATATTTCTCGCTCATGAGATTAATTTGATTGGACGCCAACTTTTAGCGTCGTGCTATTCCAATCGGGTTCAAAATGAAGCAATTGCAACTAATGGGTTCCGGGTATTTAAAGGGGCACTGATCTAACGCAATTCCCCGGGACTGGTTGTTGCCTTTGTTATTGTTTTTTCCCAGTGAGTACCCGGATGTATAGCAGAAATCTAGACTAGTTCGCGACCTCTGCTGCGCCATTCGTAAGCGCATTTGTCGCTTTTATGGGTAGTACTAAGGGCGTATGGTCACATTGATGAACAAAATGAAATACAGTTTTCGAGATAATAAGGAAATGTAGGTATATTTGTGGGTAGCATCGGTAATGGTGACGAAGTTTTGATAAGTCACTTGCTTGGTAATTTTGCGATTTTCGTTTACACTATTTTGACTTGCAACACAAAGTACATATTTCACCTGAGCATTGCTTTTTTTATAGTGTGTATATTTTTTTACTGTCAAATGTGTAACAAATTTATTAAACGTCTAAATATTCAGTTATTTTACAAAGTGACTGAAAAACATTTCCATCTGTATTATTATGATAACGAATTCCAAACATTTTGATGTTTAATGTCATCACCAAGAGACTGAAAATGTTACGTTGAGAAAAGTACATTTCTATGTTGTTTGGCTTCTAATCCTACATAATAATCTGTTGTGATGTTTGTAGGCCCTTTTGATCGTCTTAATCAATAGATAGATAACAATGATCAATCAATCAACGCATTATAAGTTAACCCTTTGAACACAGTATGTTGTTTTTACATCGGCACTTCACGCCATGGTATGAGTGTATTCCCTTTGTTTTAGTAAACCTAGACATGTAAACACTCACTCTTTACATATCCACTGTGCAAGATAATAGTGATTAATCAATCAACGTATTTTCTGTTAATCCTTTGATGACTAGGAACGTTCCGTTGATTCAAAAAAAATAAAATCAACTGATCATTCATCTCTTGCTGGGCTACCACGTGCATATTACATAACACACATTTCACCTCACTTCAAACCTGGATTTAGATTGAATAATTACCCCAGACACAATAAATGCCAAATGGGAACCTTTGTCAGGTAATCTAAGTGGTGCTACCACTAATTGTACCTGTAATAAATTCATTAACTGAGCATCCAGTGAATAACGACAAATACACAAGTGAAGGGATATACGAGAAAACGTGGATGTCAACAAGGGAGTAGTAATCGTATTATCGACGCAAGCCGAAATCCGAAAATGCTTTCACTGCATGGATACTTTTTTAGTATAAAACTATAACCATCTGGAGTATTTCCAAATGACGACATCCGATGAGCTCCGCTGTTCTTTTTGTCTGCTTGTTTAGGCTGAAGAAATTAATTAACATGCGCCCTTTGTCGAAATCTGTATAGATCACAGTTAACTAATCAGTGTTTATGCAAAAATGCGTAAAACAAATATTGCCTCCAGCCTCAAAGTTTATTTAGCTGTCCTTGCAGACGGTAGCCCAGTCTCTGGTCACGCTCAGTTGCGTTGCGTATCATCCGGGTACTCACGGGGGAAAAAACAATAACAAAGGCAACAACCAGTCCGGGGAATTGCGTTAGATCAGTGCCCCTTTAAAGTCAGATGACTCCCTTGCCTCGGGAAGATGCGATGTTGTCGATGTCTAGCTGAAACTGTTTCATATACTAGTAAAAGAAAAGTGTTAAGGGACACCAGATTCTTTCATTTAGTACTATGAAAGAATCGCGTGGTCCTCAACTTTGTTTTAGTGCGGGTCACCCACTAGCCTCAGACAACATAATTCGCTTCAAGAGTTGCGCCCCTTACCCGTGCCAGGTGCAGCTGATCTTAGGTGACTCCAAGAATCGCATTAGTTATGATCCTTTGTCTTCATTATTCTTGAGCTCGTGGGTTTCACCAAAATGGTGACTGCCTGGGGCTCTACGGCTTCCCTCCCACGAAGTTTTGTTCAAAGCAGCGTTAAACTCAACTCACTCACTCACTCACTCACTGTCGCCCTCTCTCCCCCGACAGGCATGGACTCGCTGGCGCTGCTTGTGAGCTTGCTCCTCCTGAACTACATAGGATGTGACAGCAAAGACACCAGGCCGAAAACGGGTGACTCTGAGGACGAGATGCTGGCAGCCATGTCCAGTCAGCACTGGAGTATCTATAATCGACCTGCTTTCCGATCCGCATTCGCCAAGTATATACAAATATACAATGGAACAGGGGGAAACATGATGGATGTAGACAAGAGACCAACTTGCAAAGATGCAAGACGCAACTTCACCCGAGAAGCAGGAAACCTCTGCCCTGCTTTCTACAAGCTCCAGGTGGATGAAACCCGATGGCCCAAGAGCATGTACCAAGCCGAATGTGTCTGCAGGAAATGCATGTACGGTGGTCGTCTAAATGGAAAGAAACGCCGCTCGAAAAGAAAGTTCCGATGCGAGAAGGTGTATACCTACGCCATTGTTTTTCGGCAAAAATGCAAGGAGAATGATTGCGCTTACCAACTCTTCCTCGAGGCCGTAGCAGTTGCTTGCAGTTGCAATATGATAACTCCGTAACAGCGCCCCCTACTTCCATGTGATGTCGCGGCAGTAGAATGAACACTGCTAGGAAATCAAAGAGATAATTCAACCTTGTTAGAGTTTTAAGACCTTTTTCTTTTTCTTATGTTTCACGAAATGTTGTTTGGTTTCGACAGGGTATATGATTATGTTTCATTTCATGGGACAATAAATGTAGGATAAAAATATGGAGGAAATGTACCTCATAAACGGTCGCCAATGTGTAGTTTCTTTGTGGGTGGATTTGACTGGAGGTGACAAGCTATAACGGCAGCAGCCAGATGATTTTACATAAAGGACTCTTAATGCAACAGACGCAGTACTACAGGCCTCAGTTGTTATTTTCTTGAGGGTTCCATTAAACAAAGCGATCTCATTGTTAGGATAATCGTAACATAGTTTTACGAAACTACAGTTAGTCATAACTGGATATATTCCTGGCAGGTTGATCTTTTGTCCGTCGCTGACGCATATCACATGCACCCTGACGACTCCGGACAGTCCGTGGCCCCGTGAGACCGACCTACTTGCGATCACACGGCTCGGGTGAATACCCAAGTTAGAGAACAGACCTTCTTTTCCTGTGTGTGCTTTCCATGTACTTTTATAATTATCTGTTTGCAGTATATCGTTTGCAGTTTCAACAAAATCAGTAAACGTGTTATCGTGTCACTGGATTGTTTGGTTCATCACTTAAATGTCTGGTCAAAACTATGACTACGCCTGCACGGCATTCCACTCCCTGCATGTAATCGTTGTGTTTAACACCGAGCGTATTTGTGAATATTCATATTTTGATAATAAATTGAGCGTTTTCGTGAATGACAATGACATGCTGATTTGCAGAATGTGCAGATTGTTTTTATCCGGTTATCTTTCTTTACACATAACTGTAAAACGTAAAATATAATACCAAATTCTCGCTGAATTTCTTATGACTACTTTGAAATCAAATGGTACAGAGAAAATTTAGTCCAAATAATTCTGGAAAAACACGACACGGAATTTCTACTCCATAACAGGTATATCATTGTCATCAACCTTTAGAAAGTGTAATGAAAGTTATCAGATGTATTCATATGAATAGATTGTATACGTTGTTCGTTTCGTCACAATCCTGTTTGGACCTATGAGGCTAAAAGTAAACTTTGTCTAAAAATGGATTTACGAAATTCCGAAACTTTCATCACAGTATTCTATTTTGGGCATACCATCATGTGTAGTGATATGTTACCCCATTGTGCTATTTGTTACGCTGTACTGTATTCTTACATATGTAATATGTCCCTGTTTGTGCAATGTTTGTGTGTCTTCTCCAATAAACAAAATGCTTGAACGAACGTCCGTGATCATGTTCATATATGACTGCAGGCAGTGGGAACGCCCATTACGCACATTGGATAATTGATTGGCTGAAACATTGCTGACTGTGGCTGAAACATTGCTGACTGTGGCTGAAACATTGCTGACAGTGTCTGAAACATTGCTGACTGTGACTGAAGGATTGCTGACTGTGGCTGAAGGATTGCTGACTGTGGCTGAAACATTGCTGACTGTGGCTGAAACATTGCTGACTGTGGCTGAAACATTGCTGACTGTGGCTGAAGCATTGCTGACTGTGGCTGAAACATTGCTGACTGTGGCTGAAGAATTGCTGACTGTGGCTGAAATATTGCTGACTGTGGCTGAAGCATTGCTGACTGTGACTGAAACATTGCTGACTGTGGCTGAAGCAGTGCTGACTGTGACTGAAGGATTGCTGACTGTGGCTGAAATATTGCTGACTGTGGCTGAAATATTGCTGACTGTGACTGAAACATTGCTGACTGTGGCTGAAGCATTGCTGACAGTGGCTGAAGCATTGCTGACAGTGGCTGAAACATTGCTGACTGGCTGAAACATTGCTGACTGGCTGAAACATTGCTGACTGTGGCTGAAGGATTGCTGACTGTGGTTGAAGCATTGCTGACTGTGACTGAAGGATTGCTGACTGTTGCTGAATGATTGCGGACTGTGGCTGAAACATTGCTGACAGTGGCTGAAATATTGCTGACTGTGACTGAAACATTGCTGACTGTGGCTGAAGGATTGCTGACTGTGGCTGAAGGATTGCTGACTGTGGCTGAAACATTGCTGATTGTGGCTGAAGCATTGCTGACTGTGGCTGAAGGATTGCTGATTTTGGCTGAAACATTGCTGACTGTGGCTGAAGGATTGCTGACTGTTGCTGAAGGATTGCTGATTGTGGCTGAAACATTGCTGACTGTGGCTGAAACATTGCTGACTGTGGCTGAAGGATTGCTGACTGTGACTGAAGCATTGCTGACTGTGGCTGAAGGATTGCTGACTGTGACTGAAGCATTGCTGACTGTGACTAAAGGATTGCTGACTGTGGCTGAAATATTTCTGACTGTGACTAAAGGATTGCTGGTTGTGATTGAAGCATTGTTGTCTGTGACTGAAGCATTGCTGCCTTAAGCGCCTTCTTCCTATGAGTGGGTATAATCTACCTCATGTAAAGCAATATTCAAACAATGTCGTGGTGGGTAACACCAAGATTGGACTTGACTCAACCATGTGAGTAATCGGGTAGCGGGGAAAAGAACCACATTGACCACGAGGATATCCCACGCCTCCTCCAGGTTGAGTGAAATGTGGATGCTGATCAAAGAAAGTTACGAGTTGAGTGAACACGGAACTTTGATGCTCAGGCACGCTAATGTTGGATAACTCTATATTGGTGTTGACGGACTCCCGTGTTCGGATGAACAACAAGTTTGCCCCTGCTTCAGCAACATCTTGAACGTCTTTAACGTGAATAGGCATAAAATCCAAAAACTCTGCTGTTATACGTTCATTAGCCATGTTGTTGAAACATATATTCTCTGTCAGATAGTTTTTATATATGATGTAATTCACGTGACTAAACCAATGAAACTGAAAATGTTTACTGTACAATTGGGCAATGTGGCCTTAAATACCGAATAAAAATATCTATCGGTATGAATAAGAAGCACTCGTAAAGAGCTCGTACTATGTGGTATCTGACACGGACCAGAAAGTTGTTATTTAAACATGTCCGCCCATAATCTCTTTGAAAGGACATCTATTGGACGTCGGTGTAGATGTGCATCTTTACATCGGGGGGGGGGGTGGGATAACCTAATGGGTAAAGCGTTAGCTCGTTACGCCGAAGAACCGTGTTCGATTCTCCATGGCTTAATTGCGTGAAGTCCATTTCTGATATTCCCCGCCGTAATATTGCTGGAATATTGTTAAAAGGTGTGTATAACTATATTCATTCACTCCTGTTTATATTGCAAGAAGCGTTCATATAATACCCATCGCAAAAGAACAATTATTATTATTATTCATATTCTTGCAATGGGGTTGGTTGGTTGATTTGTTTCTTGTTGAACGCCGCACTCAACAATATTCCAGCTATATGACGGCGGTCTGTAAATAGTCGAGTCTGGACCAGACAATCCAGTGATCGATATCATGAGCATCGATGACATGCATCAACCAAGTCAGCCTGCCTGACCACCCGATCCCGTTAGTCACCTTTTACGACAAGAATAGTCGCCTTTTACGGCATTCATGGGTTGCTGAAGACCTATTCTACCCCGGCTCTTCACGGAGAGCTTGCAATGGTTTCTTTAGGTGTAATCGTGGTGAAAAACATTTTTGGGGGCGTCCTTGTGCTTTTATTAAGAATGACATTTATTTGTATTTTCTAAGAATGGTTATATTTCCGTCATCCCCCCGAAGATGCGGGTTAGGATAGGTCTTCAACAACCCATGTTTGTCATAAGAGGCGACTAACGGGTTCAAGCGGTCGCCTACTTGGTTGGTTGATGAATGTCATCGTAGATCGATGCTTATGATGTCAGTCACTGGACTGTCTGGTTCACACTCGATTATTTGCAGACCGCTGCCGTCATATATCTGGAATGTTGCTGAGTGCAGCGTTAAACAACAAACAAACAACACAAGTTTATTTCCGTCATAATAAAATGGTCACGTCATTGTTTATCACCATCCTCCAGTACAAACACCCTTGAACCAAATACAACTACACACAAACATACACAAAATACGACTATTTCCGGAGAAACTCATCTTGTTTTTGGGCGTCTAATAAGCCCTGATTAACATGGGTTAAACGTACACCACTGGGTCACGTTTACACATAGTGCTATATCTGAACTCCTGATCTAGGCAGCGTCAAATCCAACTCACTCATTCACTATCAAGTTACACGTTGCACGTCTCCCATTATCTGCCTCAAGAAGGCACGCACTTAGCCACAATTCAAACTTTATATAAAAAACGCCGTTTGCCCGTGTGTGGATTTTAATGTGGATGCTATATCTGTTTTCATCCTACTCATGTGAATGATATATCTGTATTAATCCTACTCACGTGAATGATATATCCATATTCATCCTATCCACATGAATGATATATCTGTATTCCTCCTACTCATGTGAATGATCCACGTGAATGATATATCTATATTCATCCTACTCACGTGAATGATATATCCATATTCATCCTACTCACGTGAATGATATATCTATATTCATCCTACTCACGTGAATGATATATCTGTATTCATCCTACTCACGTGAATGATATATCTGGATTCATCCTACTCACGTGAATGATATATCCATATTCATCCTAACCACGTGAAAGATATATCTGTATTCAACCTACTCACGTGAATGATATATCCATATTCATCCTACTCACGTGAATGATATATCCATATTCATCCTACTCACGTGAATGATATATCTGGATTCATCCTACGCACGTGAATGATATGTCCATATTCATCCTATCCACGTGAAAGATATATCTGTATTCCTCCTACTCACGTGAATGATATATCTATATTCCTCCTACTCACGTGAATGATATATCTGTATTCCTCCTACACACGTGAATGATATATCTCTATTCATCCTAGGCTCACGTGAATGATATATCTCTATTCATCCTACTCACGTGAATGATATATCTGTATTCATCCTACTCACGTGAATGGTATATCTGTATTCATCCTACTCACGTGAATGATAAATCAATATTAATCCTATCCACGTAAATGTAATATCTATATTCATCCTACTCACGTGAATGATTAATCAATATTCATCCTATCCACGTAAATGTAATACCTATATTCATCCTACTCGCGTGAATGATATATCTGTATTCATCCTACTCACGTGAATGATATATCCATATTCATCCTAACCACGTGAAAGATATATCTGTATTCAACCTACTCACGTGAATGATATATCCATATTCATCCTACTCACGTGAATGATATATCCATATTCATCCTACTCACGTGAATGATATATCTGGATTCATCCTACGCACGTGAATGATATGTCCATATTCATCCTATCCACGTGAAAGATATATCTGTATTCCTCCTACTCACGTGAATGATATATCTGTATTCATCCTACTCACGTGAATGATATATCTCTATTCATCCTACTCACGTGAATGATATATCCATATTCATCCTAACCACGTGAAAGATATATCTGTATTCATCCTAGTCATGTAAATGGTATATATATATATTCACCCTATCCACGTGAATGATATATCTATATTCATCCTACTCACGTGAATGATAAATCAATATTAATCCTATCCACGTAAATGTAATATCTATATTCATCCTACTCACGTGAATGATTAATCAATATTCATCCTATCCACGTAAATGTAATACCTATATTCATCCTACTCACGTGAATGATATATCTGTATTCATCCTACTCACGTGAATGATATATCCACATTCATCCTATCCACGTGAATGATAAATCAGTATTCATCCTATCCACGTGAATGATAAATCAGTATTCATCCTATCCATGTGAATGATTTATCCATATTCATCCTACTCACGTGAATGCATATCCATACTGATCCTATTCACGTGAATGATATGTCAATATCCATCCTATCATTATGAATGCATATCCATATTCATCCTACTCACGTAAATGATATATCCGTATTCAATCTTCTCATCTGAATGCATAATCATATTCATCCTATCCACGCGAATGCATATCAATATTCACCCTTCTCACGTGAATGCATATCCATATTCTCCCTACTCACGTGAATGCATATCCATCCTACTCACGTGAATGCATATCTATATTCACCCTATCCACGCGAATGCACCACCCACTCAATGCGACTGCACCGTTTTAGTTCGTTTCGTGAACATACAATAAGCCCTAATGGTGGTTTACATATATTTTGTGAGTTGCTTTTTCTTTTCAGGTGAACAACTGACTTGCTTTTGCATGTGTTTGTGATGGGTGACACCAGTGGGCAACTACTACTTCTTTTGTCAAGGATGAAGAATAAAGGTTTTTTTTATCATATTTCTTATTAATATAACAACACAATTCTGTTTAAAGATATACAATACCAGTACATATACTTTCCCTTTGCATGTTGTCCTCTACTACCTGCTGAATGAGTGAGTGAGTAAGTCTGGTTTAACGCCGCTTTTAGCAGCAATATTCCAGCAATATCACGGCGGGGGACACCAGAAATGGGCTTCACACAATGTACCCATGTCGGGAATCGAACCCGGGTTTTCGGCGTGACGAGCGAACGCTTTAACCACTAGGCTACCCGACCGCCCCACCTGCTGAATGAATATGGTGTATCATAGCAATATGTGAAAGAAAAGTTTATATTCCATTAAAGGGTGGTACCTTTATTAAATGTTTTGAATTTTGAATTCTGATCAGTCAATTTAACAACAGACGTTTCATCTACCCCCCAAAATGATGTAGTCAGACCAACCATTTTTTGAGAATTACCCTTTTACTGGTATGTAAAAAAAAAAAAAAAATTATAAAAGAAATAAATCATGAGAACTTAAAACTGCAATACTAAATCACCATCCGTTTTTCAAATTTAACGGTTTCAACGGTAAATGATTTCTACCATGCATTATTTTATGATTTTGTTCTTTAGAGACAGCAACTGTCGTTCATCAGATGATGTAAATACTCGTTGTCGTCTCCCTCGAAATGCATTGGTTGAGCCTTCGTGTTACAAAGGAGTCACATTTCATCTAAATATTTGTATCTGTGTGAGATTTGTGTGATTTTATTGAAGAAATAATTTAAACAAATTTACAAATGCATGCAATATATACATGCATATGCTGCAGATCATGGTTTTCATTTGTCACTTTTGACAGGTTTCAACAAATTGAATGTTTCTAAAAATACCTGAAAGAAACGACGTCTAATCTCCAATGTAACTGAAGCTGTACGACTCACGTGACGATAGTATACTCTGTGCGACAGCTGTGCACACACCGACGACCTACATTTACCGGATATACGGACCTGGCTGTTCGTGGGTTTCCCGTTGCTTTCTGTCTTGTTGCAGTGTGACAAAAAAACGTCTAGTTCCTGGTGTTAAATAACATTAGGGCAGCAACCAACACATGCTAAATGAGCGAGTGAATGTTGCTTAACGCCGCAATCTGCAGTATTCCTTCTATGTTTTGTTTGTTTGTTGTTTAACGTCGCACTTAGCAATATTCCAGCTATATGACGGCAGTCCGTAGATAATCGAGTCTGGACCAGACAATCCAGTGTTGACATCATGAGCTTCGATCCACGCAGTTGGGATACGATGACATGCATCAACCAAGTCAGCGAGTCTGACCACCCGATCCCGTTAGTCGCCTCTTACGACAAGCATAGTCGATTTTACGGCAAGCATGGGTTGCTGAAGACCTATTTTACCCCGGATCTTCATGGGTCTCCTTCTATGTCAGAGTCGCCGTTATATAACTAAACATGGATCAGGGAAACTGGTGATTTAAGACTTGATCAACGATCCACACCATCAGAGAACGCTGACAAACTAGTGACTGAAAAGACTGGAACGTGTATGTCAGCGTCCCGAAGACAATCTGGTCCTTCGGTTGGCAGCTCTGCAAGAGGAATGGCTCCGGGTCCAATCGGCTGCAAGTAGGACGCTCAGTAAGACGACGTCAGACTGTTGTCGGCATCCACGGGGGCACCATCGTTGTCAACATTCACTGGTCATCCCTGACGCTCCATGGCTGTTTGCCAGAAAAGTCATGACCAATGGTTTGCATTCAATTCATGCGATTTTGTTCACAAGCAAATTTTATGTTTGGATTATGTGTGCGTGCGTGCGTGCGTGCGTGCGTGCGTGCGTGCGTGCGTGTGACGGTGATTTGATATTCACTATGAGTTACGTCCCTTAGTCTTATCAGGATCTGGAGGAGGATCCGAGTTATTTTCACCGCAGTTATTTTCCACAATCTGTCAGCACTATGCCCATTCTCGAGGGTTACACCTTTCTGTCGTACATCTTCCACTGCCGTCCGGAAAGAAAACGTCGGGTTTTACGCTGTTTTAGCAACACTCCAGCTATCTCACAGCGGAGGTCTCCAGAAATGGGCTTCAACTTTATCAGGAATCGAACCCAGGTCTACGGCAAAGATACGCCCACCTGCTCATCACATGATCATGATCAATGTGGGGGTACCAAAGAAACTGCCTGTCACCTGTGAAAATGCATCACTGTTTATAGTCTGGTTACGAAAAGACATGTTAAAGTATTGTCAATTCAATGCACTTTGTGAAGCATTGATAGGCACACGTTGAGTTGGCCTTCGAAGGTATTTTTAGACCAGGAAGTTGTGACTGTTGCCCAAATATTTCGGTGGGAAACGAATACAGGTACGTGGAATATTTTTCAGTTTCAGTAGACCATGTAGTTGAAAGGAGACGTGTGTTTTCCATCTTGTTTGACAGAATGACACCTCTGATAACACTGTGTACAAACTTGGACAGGTCATCAAGGCGACAAATAGCTGGCCCATAACACAATGCCGCGTCTTTGAAACAGAAAAAGGTAGATTATAGCAGTATCATCCGGGGCATTTGTGGTTTTATGGGGCCCGCGTAAGGTTTAATATCACATCAACCGGCCCCGAGGGGTGTCTACACACACATATCCTATTGTCGATTGAACTGAGGTTAACTTGTGGTGTGGTAGAACGCCCACAGTGGTCCTAGCTTGGTCTCTTCGATACAGGAAAGGATGGGCAAACACAGTGATTACTCTGCTTCAAAGACTGAACTTGAATATTCAGGATATACACAACATGAACGAATTTGAATTCAACTGTGTCAAATCAAAGCTGTTAGAACTTGACAAAGAAAAGTGGCTTACAAGTCTCCATGATGACAGTGGACAGAGTAATGGAAACAAGTTACGGACGTATAGGATTTTCAAGACATACCTGACAACAGAAACCTATGTAAACAAGAGAATTCCAAGATCACACAGAAGTATCCTAGCTAAGTTTCGCTGTGGAACTCTCCCTCTAGAAATAGAGACATGTAGGCCATCTGTACCGCTGCAAAATAGAGTCTGTAAATTCTGTCACCATTCATGTGTCGAGGACGAAATGCACTTCCTTTTAAAATGCCCCTTTTATTCTGATTTTAGAATCTTACTGCTCGAAAAAGCAAATCTGGCCAACGCGACCGTACATGATGTAGATAAACTTAAGCTCTTGATGAATAACCCACATATACAAAGTGTTTTAGCTACAACAATTGTAAAAATGTTTCGCAGGAGGACGCAGACTAAAGACGTGCTTGTCATAGATGTACAGTCACTTTCCCTGAAAAGTAACGGTCTTCATATTATTAGATCAATAATTTCATTGGAAAATAGTATAAAGATGTAAAGGTTGGAGTTATCACTTCTTATATTTTCTCACATTATTTTCTAAATTGAGAATTTAAAGATTAATAAGGTTACACAATGGCAACAGTCTAAACTATGTCTGCTGAAAGTATGATTTGTTATGCTTAATAGAAGATACTCTCTAATATTAACAGCTTGCATGTATGTGCTAATCAAAGGGTTAAACAATGTCGGTGTTAACTTGCAGGTAAAGAAGAGTTTGTCGATGACACAACTTGTTATATTGTATCACAAAATCTAGTCAACTGTGATCCCACAGGAAATAGTTTGTAGAGGTATTTGGCGGAGTTATCACTTGTTATTCTTGCTTATGTAGGTACAGTATTATCTCAGATGAGAAATTAAAGACTAATGAGGTTGCACATCGACAACAGTCTAAAACTATGTCTTTTGAAATTATCATTTGGTATTCTTATTAGAAGATATTCCCTAACATTTAAACTTGCACGTATCAAGTGGTCTAATCATACTGGTGTTAACATACACATAAATAGGTGTTTTGGTGGTTATTTTTCTTATCATTTTGTACTAAAAATAGTCAGCCATTTGGTAACTTGCGATCTTAATATGCACATATAATGTTAAAATATGGCGTCCAACAAAATTGACAGTTCCTTGGCTGCTGGAATAAGAAAAGATGATGGTACAATGTAAGAAAAAAGCTTACAATGTTTTACTTGGAAACTTTTATACATGTTTTAATGTACATACGATGTCTCATAAGCCTGTAAAGGCTGGGTGCAATACCGATGATAATTGATTTTTCTGTTTTTATGCAGTATGTATATGTTATTTGCACGTGACATCTTAATAAAATATTCTCTCTCTCTCTCTCTCTCTCTCTCTCTCTCTCTCTCTCTCTCTCTCTCTCTCTCTCTCTCTCTCTCTCTCTCTCGGGTTTATAGATAAACGTGTAACAACCCAATAACTAATTCATTAAGTGACAAACTTGTCACAATGCACCCTATTAACCTAAAATCTGCACTCGTGTTTGCTGAATATGCCACAGCATTCGAATATCAAAGATTAATAAGCATGCTTTCATCACTACAGTGATCTACAGTACTAAGTTGACCTTACAATCACAGTCCAGGGTCCGTTCGTCAAAGATGCTGCAGCGCTAAGATGATCGTAACTCCCATACTTTAACATTGAGGACAAGTAGCGCTTCGACCGCTTTGTGGAAAGTCCAGGTTTTATTCGGCCTCTGTGGGCCACGTAGTTGTTATGACGTACAACTATACAGTACACAACAATGCATCGTAGCTGTGGTCGATGCTTTGGACAATTATGTTTTGACTTTATCCGCAAATTTCGTATTTTATCGATAAAAGTCTACATAATAAATGAACGATGTTGAAATTTGCAGTGAACTATCTTTTGACTAGTCTTGGATATATTTGATTGTATTGCAAATAGCCGAGTTGCGAAAGGATAAGGATTAGGTCATGTTAAGTTTTTCATTGCAAACAAACAACAAGAATCTAGAGATCCTGCTGAGGCTCTCGGATAACAGTGCATAGAGTTCTTTTATCCGGTACGCGCGTTTCTGTAACCAACAGCTTGTGACACAAAAGGTAGGACCGCAGTCAAGGCCGACTTGAAGGGTGACTCCACAACCATATGAACCGACACCATTATCAACGTATGCAATAGAATATCCTGCCTAACAATTCGTCCTTATATTTAAAAAAAATCTTGTTATTTATGACAACTCAAATTCCTCAGCCTAGATAATATTAACACCCATTTGGGGTGTTCAAAACGACGCAGTCAAATCGTAACCTGGAACTATGCATGAAAACACAACGTTTTTTTTAACTGTTTTGAATTCTTATGGGCGAAGTGGAGAGGGGTGGAATGGAGAGGGGTGAAGGGGAGAGGGGTGAAGTGGAGAGGGGTGAAGGGGAGAGGGGTGAAGCGGAGAGGGGTGAAGTGGAGAGGGGTGAAGGGGAGAGGAGTGAAGCGGAGAGGAGTGAAGGGGAGAGGGGTGAAGTGGAGAGGGGTGAAGCGGAGAGGGGTGAAGTGGAGAGGGGTGAAGTGGAGAGGAGTGAAGTGGAGAAGGGTGAAGTGGAGCGGGGTGAAGTGGAGCGGGGTGAAGCGGAGAGGGGTGAAGTGGAGAGGGGTGAAGGAGAAAGGCATGAGACGGAGAGGGGTGAAGCGGAGAGGGGTGAAGCGGAGAGGGGTGAGGTGGAGAGGGGTGAAGGGGAGAGGAGTGAAGCGGAGAGGAGTGAAGGGGAGAGGGGTGAAGTAGAGAGGGGTGAAGCGGAGAGGAGTGAAGTGGAGAGGGGTGAAGCGGAGAGGGGTGAAGTGGAGAGGCGTGAGACGGAGAGGGGTGAAGGGGAGAGGTGTGCAGTGGAGAAGGGTGAAGTGGAGAGGGTGAAGTGGAGAGGAGTGAAGCGGAGAGGGGTGAAGTGGAGAGGAGTGAAGCGGAGAGGGGTGAAGTGGAGAGGGGTGAAGTGAAGAGGGGTGGAGCGGAGACGGGTGAAGGGCAGACGGATGAAGTGGAGAGGGGTGAAGTGGAGACGGGTGAAGTGGAGAGGGGTGGAGCGGAGAGGGGTGAAGGGGAGAGGGGTGAAGCGGAGAGGTGTGCAGTTGAGAAGGGTGAAGTGGAGAGGGGTGAAGTGGAGAGGAGTGAAGCGGAGAGGTGTGCAGTGGAGAAGGGTGAAGTGGAGAGGGGTGAAGTGGAGAGGAGTGAAGCGGAGAGGGGTGAAGTGGAGAGGGGTGAAGTGGAGAGGGGTGGAGCGGAGAGGGGTGAAGGGGAGAGGGGTGAAGTGGAGAGGGATGAAGTGGAGAGGGATGAAGGGGGGAGTGGAGAGGGGTGAAGTGGAGAGGGGTGAAGTGGAGACGGGTGAAGGGGAGAGGTGTGCAGTGGAGAAGGGTGAAGTGGAGAGGGGTGAAGTGGAGAGGAGTGAAGCGGAGAGGGGTGAAGTGGAGAGGGGTGAAGTGGAGAGGGGTGGAGCGGAGAGGGGTGAAGGGGAGAGGGGTGAAGTGGAGAGGGATGAAGGGGGGAGTGGAGAGGGGTGAAGTGGAGAGGGTGAAGTGGAGAGGGGTGAAGTGGAGAGGGGTGAAGTGGAGAGCGGTGAAGTGGAGAGGGGTGAAGCGGAGAGGGGTAAAGTGGAGAGGGGTGAAGTGGGGAGGGGTGAAGTAGAGAGGGGTAAAGTGGAGAGGGGTGAAGTAGAGAGGGGTGAAGTTGGTTGGTTGGTTGGTTGGTTGGTTGGTTGGTTGTTTAACGCCGTACTCAGCAATATTCCAGCTATATGACGGCGGTCTGTAAATAATCGAGTCCAGACAATCCAGTGATTAATATCATGAGCATCGATCCACGCAATTGGGATCGATGACATGCATCAACCAAGTCAGCGAGCCTGACCACCCGATCCCGTTAGTCGCCTTTTACGACAAGAATAGTCGCCTTTTACGGCAAGCATGGGTTGATGAAGACCTATTCTACCCCGGATCTTCACGGGTAGAGGGGTGAAGTGGAGAGGGGTGGAGTAGAGCGGAGAGGAGTGGGAACCACATCACATTGGTAATGAGCACATGCAGCAGGATCGGTGAGGGAGTTTTGATTGTGCAAGACTGAGGCCAAATTGTGTCTACAGCATTTTCGGGGACATTTTCTATTAAAATATCACCATCGCACCGAATTTCTATGATACCCACATACTAGGACATGTGATGTTTACTCAGTAATAACTAGGATAACGACATCTTCTCGTGCTTCTTAAACTTAGAAATGGAATAGAATTGTGACATGATAGAAAATACCACTATTCAACAGTGTATTTTAACGTCCAAGGTCAGATCTATGTATCATTTTTAAGGAAAAGCATCCTCGAGCGTTATACAACAGAGCTAAAACATGAATAATTGGGCGTAGAGTTATTAAATAATACTCGCATCATAAACGTGACCCAGTGCACATACAGCATGGAACCAGTCTGTGTGTAAGGTTTTA